TTTTGATTTCTCTCCATGTGTTGTGTCAAAGCAAAGCGCCTGCCCTTGAACATGCCGATGTTCTTTGGGCTTTGGATCCTTCGTGTGATACGTTCTTCGGGACTCCTCTCATCTCGGCTCCTCTCGTTCGACTTCCCTGGAAGGTCGGTGAGCGTGCCTTCCGCTCCTGGTGTGCTGAGGGGCTTCAGGGATTGTTTTCCTTCCTCCCTTCTGGGTATTAATTGCTGGCATCGGCGTATCTTGCAGCGGGTATGGTGGCTGCATAACATTGTTCTGCATCATGAAGTTGATGACCGACTGTAGGTCTGCCAACTTGTTTGCCAAGTCTTTTACTTCCTCATCCCTTCGTAGGCACCTATCCCTCCATACCTGATGGTTATCTTCGTTATAATACTTGCTTTGGTCTGTCCTCTTCGAAGCGTCGTTCTCCTAGCCGACGTCTTTCTCTCCGTGGCCCTGGCCATGAGTTTCTGTATTGTGGTTGTCTCCTTCAACGTCAAGGTCAATTGGTCTGCCACTCCCAGCAGGAGTGTCGCCCCCAATGTTTTCTCTCTGTCTGTCACTGGCCATCTATTCTTCTAAGTTCCCACAAACGGCGCCAAATTATGTGGGTAATTTTCTGACCACACTGCCCGCTTAGTACTCAGCTGGAGAGCACCGGCAGAATAGATGGCTTTAGCAAACCTGTAACAGAAAGAAAAGGCTCCGGCGGTGGCTCTTCCACCTGGGGGCACTCCGACGATCAAGTCAGTATGTTACGACCCCAAACAGCCCCTAGTAGTTTGGTGCTGTGATGGCCAGTAATCCGAGATTACCGAAGGCCAACTTTAAAAATTCATACACAGACAGAGTATAAATATATGTAGGGCTCACAAGTGCGGAAGCAATAATTTGAAAATACAAGTGGTCCATAAGAGCAGTGCGTAAGTTACATGGAATGGCATACAACTTTACATAATATTACAACTTGGATACAAATACAATAAAGTACAAAACACATTTTACATCTTGATCAAAAGGGCTTCTCCAGCTGACATGTGTAAATCACAAGCATTATAAGCCGAGAAGCATAATTTTCAAGACTGCCGACATGAATACAAGTTAGGCCGACATAACCAAAAACCCAAACAAGCTTGCGAGTCACACCTAGTCGTCACCGCCTTCCTACTCATCACCTACATATATATATATAGAGGGTGAGCTTGGATACTCAGTGAATGGTATAAGAAATAAAGGGGTTTGCATGACTGGTATTCAAGATCTTTATCAAACAGTACATAACATAGTTGGTACAAGCCAAGGGATGAACCAAGTCCATCTTCCAAATCTGTCAAGTTTCAAAGGATGCTTACTAACATCATTATAATACAAGTGATGACATCTCGGCAAACAAAACCCACGCGGTAAACCGTCAGTGGCAAACAAGACAAGACAAGGCAAGACAAGGGAGATATCTTAATTCAATGGTGTCGTTGCATTATAGTCCCCGAACACTAAGGACTTGTGCTACTAATGCTTAGAGTCCCCTAGCACGTATGGACTTCCAAACTTTGTGCTACAAGTGCTTATAGTCCCTTAGCACGTACGAACTTCCAAACTTTGTGCTACAAGTGCTTATAGTCCCTTAGCACGTATGGACTTCCAAACTTTGTGCTACAAGTGCTTATAGTCCCTTAGCACGTATGGACTTCCCAAGAATGTCATCAAAACAAGATATGTATATATTTTCCAATTAGGAATAACCATTCATGCTTACAAATACTTTCCAAAACGAAGCAAAACAAGACTTTATCAAAGCATTATAATATAGCTTTATTAAAAATACCACTCACTTAGTTCTTCAAACGCCAGGGTCAAGGCAAGTCCAAACCCTACAAACACATGGCAAAGTCTGTTGAATGCACTTTCAAACAAGTTTCATATGCATGCAGATGATCTCGGTATTCCTCAAGGCTAAGTCAGATCAAAACAAACACAGTTCTTTATCTCGGGAAAATCATGCTGGGCAACTGCCAGGTCTAGGCCGAGGTCCCACACCTTCTTGCCGAGGTGTTTCCTCGATGGCCACATTCAACGGAATGAAGTCGGGAAAAATCTGGGTTTCCCTTTCTTGAAGAACATGAAGAACATGAACATGAGGGAGATGAATACAAAGATCGTGATTTGCTATTACCAATTCTGAGATTTCATGCTATGAGTTCAAAAACATGGACCTGGGTACCCATATTCAAGAATCTTGTGAGAACAAACACAAAAACATGAAACTTAATGTAAACTTTCAGATCAAACAAGACATTTCTTTCAAGAACACATGAACACCATTTTCTCTTTCTAAAACCGACTTTAAATCGATGCATGACATGCAAGACGGTTTCGATCATGCAATGCAGCTAGATGATCAATAAGAATGACAAGAGTAAATCAAGAATCTAACCTCAATACGCGAATCTAATGGTTTGATCTCTAGCAATCAAGCTCGAAAACCCACTCTCTCACTCTAAACTTCTTCTTCTTCCTCTAGAGCTTCTCTCTCCTCACAAACAAAGACATATAGCAAATGATACATTTCTAAGTCTGCTGGCTGACTTAACCCTCTACAGAGGCACGTGGCAGCGGCTGGTTGGTGCTACACAGAAAGGTGGCTGAGTGACAAGACAAAACTATGACAAAGTGTGTTCAACAAGCAAGACGGCATGGGCACTCTGACGAGTAATGATCTCGGCTAATAACAAGACATCGGCAAGTAGGAAATAATGACCTCGGCTAGGAAGGACAATACTTGACTAAGCTGTGCCACACCTTGGCCTAGATGTGCCACACCTCGGTCTAGGTCATACCACTCCAGGACAAGATCACTTGGGTGCAAAGGTAACATCTCGGCCTAGATAACTTACACCTCGACCTTGGTGGTGAACACCTCGGCCTAGATAATGACATCTCGGCCAGTATGTCAAGGCGAAGGTAGAAGTCAAACGAAATGGTTCCAAGGGAGTTCTAGACTAAAGACGCCCTCGGCTAAACTCACACCAAGCAGGGTACAAAACATGCTGTAACACTTAAACGAACAAGGACAAGACTCGAAATGCAAGTTTACAAGACAGAATCACATGAATGCATATAAGTATGGTTAGGATAGCGTGAGGGTTATTACACAATATATCTCTCAAAGATAATTAATAGTGCTAAACTTATTATTCAAAGCATAAAATTGCGTATCTTAGACCCATGGGGGTGCCTCTCTTTTATAGTTTACTCAATCCAAGTCCCACTAGAACCCTGACTTCTATGGACTCCAATTCAATACTGACTTTGGACTCTTTAAGAGATAAAGATAAACTCCCTAATAGTTTTATCCTTATCTTGACTAAGTCTTCTCTTTACTCTAGGACTCTTGTCCGTTATCCGCTTATCTCGGATTCTGATATTTTCGGAGATCACCTCGGCCTCGCCAAAGATAACCTCGGTATAACTACCACGACACGTGGCACCTCGGCTGACACGTCGGCGTCATTATGCCACGTGTTGGTATTCAGAAAATATATCCCCACAGTTAAAGAATGAAAATAAATAGGGAGCCATTCAGTGTTCTTTGGTTTGAGTTTTTTGAATTAAATTTTTTGAAAATTAAATTTTTTAGTTTTCGTATTTTTTTATTTTTAGTGAATATTTTTAAAATTTTAAACATTTTTTTTTTAATTTTTTTAGATGCACTTTACTTAGATGTATTTAAAAAGGTAAAAAATTTGTGAAATTTTTTTAAAAAATTAACAAATACATAAAAATACAAAAAATATACTGAATTCTTGTATTTTTTCTATATTTTTGGTATTTAGTGAATTTTTAAAAGGTTTTTTTCAATTCTTTTTTACTTTTTAGGTATATTTATTTTAGGTATGTCTAAAAATTAAAAAAATTGCTCAAAATATTAAAAAAATTCAGTAAATACAAAAAAATACGAAAAATAAAAAAATAAAATTTTTTAAAAAGTGTTTTTAAAAAATGATTACTAAAGCAAATTGTCCTTTCAATGCTCCATTATAGTTTATTGACATCATGCCCACCACCAGATCTGTCGATGATCACCATGACATCTTCTTTCTTTCTCTCTGGGCGAAACTCTGTTCAATGGGTTTCAACGTCCGTAATGGAAAATGCTTTTTGAGTAGTTGCACCTACTAGGTTTGCCTTCAATACATATTTCCCCTTCGAAGGTTATAGAAATTACACTGACTCCTATGAAAGTTTCTTTGTTAACTCTCTTAATTAAGAATGTTCGCGAAACGGGTTCGTTAAGCGACTTCCTGTTTGTCATCCATTTGAATTTAGGTAAATTAAGAAAAATAAATCCACATTTGTTCTCTCTCTCTACATGTTAGCCTGTATAGTCTATTCTGCATCTATTAACTAAGCGAATAAATGTGGATTAAATTTTTTTAATCTATCTATTTTCAAATAGATGACAAATGAGAAGTCACTTAATTAAACCGGATTTGCGAACCCTCCTAATTAAAAGTGTTAACAAAGAAATTTTCATAGGGGGTGAGTGTAATTTCTATAACTTTCAAAGGGGAGATATGTATTAAAGGCAAACCTAGGCGTGTAGGTGCGATCACTCATAGGTTATATTTGATTCACAAGACTAATAGTGAAATATTAATAATCTTATCAAATTAGTATAGTATTCACTATCCAATTAGATTAATAGGATAAATTAACCATTTAATTAATAATCACATTCTTACCCCAGTACTAATAATCTCACAAATTTATTGAATTAATTATCTATTAAATTAATAATTCTAAATCAAAATATTAAAATAAACATAAGATAATTAAAGCCACCAATTACTAATCTCAATTCGATACACTCATCATCGAATCAAACATGCCCATATAAAGCATTTTCCATTACGTATACTGAACCCATTGAACACAGTTTCGCCCATATAAAGCATTTTCCATTACGTATACTGAACCCATTGAACACAGTTTCGCCCACAGAGAGAGAGAGAGAGGGGTAAAAAATGGCGGGAACCACAAACCCTGAAAAGGTGGTAGCAGAGGAAGCCATAAAGAACTGATACGAGATAGAGTACTCGCGCTTCTTCAACTACCCTAAGACTCGATCGTCGTCCCCAACTGCGCTGCGATCCTTCTCCAAAAACACGAAGCTCCATCGCGGAGGCGGCACTTGGCTCTCTTCCTCCTCCCCTGCTTCTCTCCGCCTTCTCACTCATTTCAATTCCCACTCTCTTCCCCAAGTCCTCCTCCTCATCTCCCTCCGCGGCAACACTCACGTATGTATAAATCTATATAATGTATCTATCAAAATCAACCTTTATTATCTCCTACTAACAAAAATGCTTTTTCTTTTTTTTCATTATGTACTTGTATCAGCTTTCTAGATATATGAGGAAATGCCATTGTTGTTGTGAAGATTCTCTAGGGTTCTTACTTCTTAATGCTGTTACAGAGAAATGTCTGTTGAAATGATTCCATAGGGTTTTTGTTTATTGTTCACAATTGATACGTATTTGTTGCCTATTTGCGTATGTTACAGTAACAGAACCGAAAGTAATTTAGAAATTTAAAAAATAAATAAATAAAAGTCTAAATGGGTCACATTTCTTAGTGTGGCTGTTACAAATGAATTATGGGTGTAATGGGATTTTACATTTCCTCCTTCAGCCTGATTAATTTAGCCCAATCTCCATGATAAAATAAAGCTTAATCCCAAATCTCATGTTGGTCCCTCATTTTTGTCCATCACAATACTAAACCCTAACACTTCTGGTCACGTTGCAATGTGATCCTTGCATAAGCTTCCATTTGTTGAGCTAATGGAAAATGCCCATGTGGTGGACATGTCATTTTTTTGGGAAGCCATGTCGCCATTTTTATCAGCTCGTGTAATGACAGCTCACAAAAGGTAGATATTGCAACTTGACCGTAAGTGTACAGAGGTTGACAATTACAATTCAAATATGAGGGACTAATGTGGGATTTGGAAGATTAAAGTGCAAGGATGCAAAATGAATTTAACTCTAAAATAAACCATGCAAGAGAAGGGAAAACAAAATCTCTCACGATGGTGGAATCCGTCTTGTGTATTTTGCAGATTGATGGACAAACATCCATCATGCTGTCATTTAGATGAAGAAATTGTGTTTTCACATTATTGATCAGATGTTCTTGCTAGACTGCATTGCCATTGTAGGATTGTGCTTTTGCTCAATGTTACATTGATGTTAAAAAGTGATTCTTTTAGTGATAAAGGTTGATTCTAATGTGAAGAAGCATCTCTTGACAAACCATCAACTAGTTCTATATTACATTTGTGGCTTATTGGGGATAAAGGTGATTACGCAGATTTCATGAACATTACTGAAACTTTCAATTATAAAAGACATAGATGATTTTTGTTTTTCTTATTTTAATTTAACTTTTGTGAGTTTTGTGCTTATCTACTTTAACTTATTAAAAGTTGTCAAGCATGCAGAGGCAATTTTGTTAGATTTTATTGAAAAATAGGTACCTTACGTCTTAGAATTTGGAATTCTAGTAGTTGTTCCGGCCATATTCTTGATCCTTGATTCTGTATATTTCATATGGCTTGTTGATTTTGCTTTCCCTGTGATAAGTGTTTGATTCTGTATATTTCATAAATAATTCTCTATTTGTAGATTCTGCTGCATATCTGATACCAAATTTCTGTAGCAATGGCTTTACTACAAAGTTGTACTTTTGCATAATTTTCTACATGATGCCATTGTTGCTTTTCATGTATAACAAGTATGCTTTGCTATTTTAATGTTGCAGGAAGAACACTTTATTTCAAAGCTGCAATTTTCCTGGCCTCAGCTGTCATGTGTTTCACAGTGCCCTGTCAGAGGTAGCAGAGTTGTATTTGCATGCTACAAAGATTGCGTAGGCCAGGCAACCTTCTAATATTGCTTTTTCTTTTCTCCTCTTCTGGTGGTATAATGGGTGACACAGTGGGAGATAACCCCTTCCCCTACCCATAAACTATCCCTAACCTAGATGAAGGCAAGATTTGCTCCCCAGTCTTTGGTATGACTACCAATCGACTTCACCAACTACGCCTTCCAAGTTTCTAAAGTTGTTGGATTCCAAACAAGTCAAGCTTGATCCATGATTAGATTTCTGTATAGAAGTTGAGGGAGAGGGCAAAAGGGAAGGGAAGTAAGTCTGAGATCTTATATTGTACATTGTTTCGGAACTGGAAGAAGAAGCATGGCCTTAAGTTTACCTTCTCCTTCTTTTCTTCAATTTCTTCTGCAACCAAACAGATGATATGTGAAAAAGGTTTCTATGGGTGCTATTGTATACCCCTATAGTATACTTCATTTCTTTTTGCTTCTAAATTTCTTATCTTACATTTCTACTCTTGAATGCTGAGCATTAATTGTCTATTTTCTTTTATGTTCTCCACAACATGCTCAGTGACATTGACCAATTTCATTGGCATCATTGCTGCCATCCATTGTTGCAATTAGATGGCGTTAACATATTTCTTTTGACTTCTGAACAAGTGATCATTTAAACACTTTGAATGTTCAAGTTACTTTTTTCAATCTTCCACTTACAACTATGCCATTCATTGTACTGGCCTTTGTACTTAACCCTTACCTTAAACAATCTTATGTCTGATGCTAGAATTTAATTTTGTTTCCTCTATTTGTGGACAGATGACTATTGGGTCAATTTAGTCTGCAGATGTACTGAAGAGAAAAGTGGCTCACTGGTTTTGTGCTTGACAGCTTTTATTATTTTACCACTCTGGATCTTTTGTTATCAACACCCTAAGGTCATGTTTGATTCAAAAGATTAATAGTGAAGTATTAATAATCCTATTAAATTAGTGTAGGATTCACTATCCAATTGGATTAATATCCATTGGATTAATAATTCCACCCCTACCCCATTACTAATAATCCTACAAATTTGTTGGATTAATTATCCATTGGATTAATAATCCTAAACCAAAATGTTAAAACAAACATGAGATAATTGGGCCCACGGATTAATAATCCTAATCACATGCTCTAATCCACCCAATCAAACATACCCTAAGTTCTTAAAATGAAAATCAACCGGGTATTAGAAATTTAAGATAATCAACTGAAGTTATTAACATTAGTGCACGGTAGATTATCTCTTTTGTTAGTTTTGTGTGGATGGTGTATTGTTATTTATAAATCATGAGAAACCCATGTAGTTGCATTTGCATTTAGAGCAATAAATATTTCAAGGCCTACTAGCATCTAGGAATTTTGGTGCATCATAGCATAGGCCGGGGTATAATATCATGTAAATTATCTATTATTAACAATGATGTGCTCTGTTTGTATTTAGATACCAACATGGCCCAATATTGTAGGTGTTTCTATGTTGATATTCTTTCTTTGTTGTTTAGAAACTTTGATTGAGTGTAGTCTAACTAATGGATTCCTAATATATATTTGCTCAACTATGTAGTTTTTTTTTTCCCTTTGTGACCATCCTTAGTTTTGTGATTTTGCAGATCCAAAAGTTTGCCATGCGATTTTCAAACTCTTATGAGTCGCAAACATTCATAAATTATGTAAAGGTGCAAATGGCATAACACAGATATTATTGTTATTATTTGTTTTTGCTGGTTTGTCCATTAAGCATCCATATAATGAACACACCTACTTCAGTAGTCTTTTCTTTTCCTTATAATGCACATTCTTTGTTTCTCAACCAGGAGTGCTTCAAGGATGCGAGGAATATTGAGCTTCCATGCTGCAATTTGAGATCAGAAGTTCCGTCTCAAACTGAGAATTCAAACGATGTCCAGGATATGCTGTGAAAGAAGTCTGTTCTATATAGCAGATTACATACATTAGAAAGAGATGAATATACAAAGAACCATACATCTGTATTGTGCCTGATGGTTGAGGATTTTGATTGTTACAGAGCTAACAAGGAATTAGACTTTGTCAATCTGATTGACAATTATTCTCAGCTGATGCAATCTCCCTTAAATTACCAAAGTGAACAATATGCATACCCTCAGGAAACAACACTTCCCAATGACTTGGGTGACACATGTGATGCATTGCCTTCAAGCTTCACAGACCTCCTTTCTGACTGTTGCACCGAGGTTGAGCAAGGTACAATGGTTGCAAAAATTTCATATATAATAAGCCCCTGGTTCTCCATTTCGAAACTGATTTTGTTTTATTGAAATTACAGAACCTCCAACGGAAACAACACTTCCCAATGACTTGGGTGACACGTGTGAAGCGTTGCCTCCAAGCTTCACGGACCTCCTTGCTGACTGTTGCACCGAGGTTGAGCAAGGTACAATGGTTGCAAAAATTTCATATATAATAAGTCCCTGGTTTTCCATTTCGAAACTGATTTTGTTTTATTGAAATTACAGAACCTCCAACAGAACTGGAGGAAGTTGACCTCAAGTCCCAAATTGCAGTAATATCTAAACTGTATTGTTAAATATTGCGTTGCTTTTACTTTTACACATTTAGTAAAATGGTTGCTTGGCTGCATATTACTCATCTCAATCTTTTTGTTTCCTCTTCTTGTCTTGCAGAGATATATGACTACCACTTCTTTCCATGGTAAGTTGAATTTCCTTTTTAATTAGTTATGGTTGTTAATCTTACTGAGAGATACCCCCTGGAATCCACTGAATTTTTCGTAAATGCTAAATGGTTCTCCACAAAAATTTAATATCTGAATGTAGCTATGGGCCTCCTTTAATACAAAAGGTTTCCATTACCTCTCTTAAATATCTCCATCTTTGCTTATAGATTGAGCTTGCTCCCTTTTGACCTCTTCCCTTTTCTGTCAGTTCTCAACTGTGTTTACTTATATTTTTGCTCTCTTATTTTAGTAGATCGTAAGTTTAGTCTACAGTGGATAATGATATGCCATCAAAATGTGATATAGATAGAGTTAAAATATCGTTTATCATATTTTATTTCATTTGGTGTTACCTATGTTCAGGAGAAATTGCTACTCTCTCTGTTGTCAAGTGTTGATTACCTACGAAGCATGGACACTCCAAAATTAGTGCCGTGGCGGTGTCCGACACGGGGACACGCCGGGGACACGGGGACACGCCGGGGACACGTATGGACGCCGGGGGGATCTAACATTGTCAACCAGTGGAGCCGGTCTTTACGTAAATACCAAAACCAAGTTAACTTTTGTTTCATTGCTTTGATGTGCTGTTTGAGTAAGGTAACATCCTTCGAAGTTCAGAAAATGTTTAAGCTGTCACAGTGATGTTTACGGGTTAGTTTATAGTTCATTTACTCTGAAGAATGCACACCTAATGCTTGGTGTAAATGTAGATGCCAATCCCATCCTAGCTTGTTTTGATCACAGCACAGTTGACTACTAGTCTACCTCAGCTTTAGTACTGCGAATTGTTTTGGGAGGCTGAGAACCAGGGGATATTTTCAGTTGCATGAAATCAAAGTCATATTGATTCTGACAAGCATTGGGTCCATTGCTTATCCAAAATCGTCATAATTAGATGGTGGAAATAGTGAGAGTGAAATTCATTCAAGAATCATATGATCAATATATTGATTGTAAGTGTGAGAATGATCTACAATGCTTCTTCTGTTGTATAGCATATATGTGTAAATGCTTACACATATGCACGTATAGTTTATCAAGTTGTCATCATTGTTAAATTTTTTTTATTTTTTTAAATAGGTAAAGGTTTCTTGTATTCCATGTATGCAGAGAATTACCCGTACTTGAGGTTTGAGGCTTGATTATATGGCCTCATTTGATGCAGTTTTTGCAAGTTATAATATAAATACGAAAGCTAATTGTAGTTCTTCCTTGATAGTTTTTCAATAATTATCTTGTTCAAGTAATTTTTGTTTATTAAATTGTAAATAGAAATTGTAGAGATGCTTCTTCTAGTTGAGTTGTGTCTGAAACTAGTCTTTTTGAATTTAGAATTACCCATGCTTGAGGTATGGGGATCGACTTATATGGACTCGTTTGGCATATTTTTTGCAAATTAAAAATTGATAATCTAAATGTCTTTTATTGTTGTTTCTGAATAATTAACTTATTTATGTTTTTGTTGTTTCATAAAAGTAAGTAAAATTTGTACAAAACACTTCACATACCTTTATTTTATTTTATTTTAATAATAATAAAAAAAGAGTAAGTTACACTCATCTCTATTGAGATTTGGAAAAAATGCATTTAGGCTCGCACTTTTAACATAATTATAGGTTTGGAAAAAATGCATTTAGTTTTAATAAGTGAACTTATTGTTCAATGATTAATAGTATTTTTTATCAAACACTATCAAAAAAAAAAGTTAATAATTATTAATTTTCAGTGACAGTTTGAAAATTGTCATAAAAAATGTCACTAATTATAAGTTTTTGCGACAGTTTAAAAAAAATTGACAAAATAATGTCATTAATTTTTAACTTTTAGCTACAACTGAAAAAAATTATTATAAAAAAAGTCACTAAATGTAAGTTTTAATGACAATTTATAAAAAAAAGTCACTAATTGTTAATTTTTAGCAATATGCAAAAAATATCGCAAAAAATTATTTTTAACGACGATTTTATTATGGTGAACTTTCAATAAGATTTAATGGGAATTAAGTCTAACTATTATGATCTATTAATAGTTTACCCTAAATTAAAAAAAATGATATTGTGATTTATTTTCAATTAAAATGTGTATTTATTTTTATCTTTATTTATTTTAATACATATTTATCATTTGTATTAATTTTAGTCACTTTAATCATATTAAAAGAAAAATTAGTCTAATTATATAAAATATGTGAGATTGTATATATATATTTTTAAACTTCAAAGGAGAGTGTAACTTACCCTGAGAAGAAAACTATCTGTAAGCTACACCAAGAGGTGCCTATAACCGTTTGTGTTTGTTGTGTATATGAATATGGAGCTTTTTTTAAAAAAAAATATTATTTCATAAAATAAAACTATTTAGGAAAATAACTCATTTTTTGTAATTATTTATCAAACTAATTATTTTTTTGAAATCGCAATTTGAAAGTCCACTTTAATTTTGAAATCCCAAATTCAACTTATGATTTCATGTTGACATGTTTCCTTAGTGGTTGTTGACATGTCATAAAGAAATTGTATCTTGAAGTTCCTATTTTGAAATCACATTTTTAACATGCAATTCAAAATCGCAATTTCAAGATACGATTTTGTAATGAAATTGGATTTTGAAATTGTTATTTCTTAGTTAGATTTTGAATATGCACTTAGGTTTTGTTTGTTTTGACGTAAAATATTTTTGTCAAAAATATTTTTTTTTTTATTTTTCGTTGTTTAGTTGAATAAAAAGTAAGTAAAATCGCAACTTTAAGATGGGATTTTGAAATCACAATTCAAGACAAGATTTTGAAATCGTAAGTTCAAGATGCGATTTATTTCTGTCATGTCAGCGACATGTAGACATTTCAACAACTTACTAAGGGGATATGTCAATATAGAATTGCAAGTTCAAGTTGCGATTTCAAGATGAGAGTAGAATTTGAACTTGCGATTTCATAAAAAGCGATTAGTTTGATAAATAGTTTTAAAAGTGAATTATTTTTATAAATAATTTCATTTTTTAGAATATTAAAAAAAAAAAAAAAAAACAACCCCTTAAATATGAGCTAGAATCAGAATAGAGGTAGAGATTGTATGATTCTTTTAATCGTGCGCCTAGTACAAAAGTTGTTACCTACAAAAGCTGTTTAAAGTTAATTTACCCTAAAAGAAAATATAGCCATTTTGAAAGAACCATAGATGCATGTGTAATGTATTCATACAAAATTATAAGATTCAAAATACAACATTTTTATCTTTTAAAGAAGAGGGAGAGAAAAAAAAAATGATTCAAGTTCAACATGAATTTAAGGCCAAGTTGGCAACACCAAAATAATCCATCTTTTTATTTTTTTTTCATCATATTGCCTCTCTACTTTTCTGCACATCTTTTCGTAAAAAGACAAAAAGTACACTTATATAGGTCATCTCAAACAATCCCTAAATACACAGAAAATTTACCAATAAAGTTACCTATAAAGTAAATCAATGAATTATATTTATTGTATATCTAACCTATATCTCACTAATTTTAAATTTATACCATACACTTTATTTTGAGGTAAATTCCAAAATAATTTTGTTATAATTTCTTGCATTATTGATTCATTAATTCTAAGGGTGCGAATTCTAACCTTGTAGACCAGAATATGATGAAAGTGGTGAAAAGTTATAGAAAGAGAAAAAGATAAAACATTTTTTTTTTTTGAGTTTCTTCAGCATAGAAGTACTGGAAGTTGCAATAAAAATAATTTTTCTGTACAACTCATTGTTATAATACTTAAACTTTTAGTTCTTATAAAAAATACAAGAAAACACAAAAAAGTTTAAATTTATTTATAAAAATTGTTATTATAATAAAAATTTTAAATTTATCTCTCTTTCCTTTAAAATTTTCATTCAAGCACATGCATATTTATATTTTCATTTCTTTTATTTGAATTTAGTTTTTACTACTTTTACTTTTGACCATTTAATTCTTTCCAGTCAAACGGACCCAGAAATTTTGGTGTTTCTGCCAAAGCACAAGAAACATTAATCAGCTTGCTTATTTTTGTTTTTCAGAAAATATTTCTTAAAAAATATATTCTTATTTTTTATGTTTTTTTTTTATTTTTACTAAATTTTTTTAATATTTTAAGTAACTTTTTTACTTTTTAAACACACCTAACAAAAATACATTTAAAAAGTAAAAAAATTGTAAAAAAAATCTTTTAAAAATTCACTAAATATAAAAAATACAAAAAAAAAATACAAGAATTCAGTACATTAAGTATTTATTAATTTTTTTAAATATTTTCACAATTTTTTTACTTTTTAGATACATCTAACTAAGGTGTATCTAAAAAAGTAAAAAAATATTTAAAATTTAAAAAATATTCACTAAAAACAAAAGAATATGAAAACCAAAAGACTGAGTTTTCAAAAAACTTAATTCAGAAAATTCAAACCAAACACACTGAATGCATCTGCATTCACTTCTATTTTGGATAGAGGAGAAAAAATAAAAAGAAGAAAATACAACTAAGGGCAATGGCAGAGCAAAGAAAATAAGCTAGAGGAGGCATCATTAATATTATAATTTAAATAAATAAAAAAATATTTTGCAATCAATAATAAAATAATAATAATTTTATGAGATAAATTTAAGCATAAAAAAATTAAATATTCTTATATAATAGCAACAAATCAAAATTACATAATAGTGTATGTTAGGTTTTTGTAATTAGTAATTCCGTTTGATAAAACTCTTTTCAATTATAATTTTATTTGATCTTTTATTTTAGTAAGGTTATGAGTATTTAGATGTAAATCCAACCTGAATTGTGCCTATGCAGAAGAGTTTGTAATCTTAATCCTATCTTGTTTGCCATTTCGCTGACTGTGTTGGAGATCAAGCGAGGTTGAGACGGGGTTGAGGGGCAACGCCCCCGAAACAAAAAAAAAAAAAAAACAAAATTGCAGTCAAAGTTGTTTGACCGCTCGAGCAATCGATTGTGCACTCGAACGAAGATGCAATCCTTTCAAACGTTTCACTCGCCTGCAAAAGTACTGGGAGTTGTATTTTTACACTTGAGCGTAAATCCTTGTTTTGAAATACATGTTTTAGTCAGACCGCTCGAGCGTCCATTCCTGCGCTCGAGCGGAGAACGCGATTTTGTTTTCTATAAATCTGCGATTAATTTAGTTTCTAGGGCACAATTTCTAGATTTTCTTTTTGGGTATTAAGATTTTCATATGGAGTTTCTTTGCTTGTTTCGTTTGATATCTGTGAAAGTATATATCACGAATTGAGTGGATTATATCAAAGGGTTTGTGTCACGCCCTAAACTCGCCCCTAAAAGTTTGGTCATGACTAACTCGATAACGGTCTCGAATCTCAGTAATTATAAAATATGGGGCCTGACGGAAGCAATT